AGAGCACTTACTATCTCTATCAAACATGTTACACTCACGAGTGCACTTACTATCTCTCATCAAACATGCAACACTCACGAGAGCACTTACTATCTCTCATCAAACATGTTTCACTCACGAGTGCACTTATTCTCTCTAATCAAACATGCAACACTCACAAAAGCACTTACTATCTCTCTTCAAACATGCTACACTCACGAATGCACTTACTATCTCTCATCAAATACGTTACATTCACGAGTGCACTTACTAATCTCTCATCAAACATATAGTACTCAAGTGTGCAATTACTATCTCTCACCAAAAAGAAAGCACTTCCATGTCCACTCACTATCTCTCTCCAAACAGATGTCATTCACAAATGCACTTACTGTCTCTCATCAAACAGACAATGCTCGCAATTGCCTGCTAAACAGACAAAACTTACAAGTGCACGGCAAAAAGACAACATTCACAAGTGCACTTACTATCTACCACCAAATAGACAACACTCATGAGTACACTTTCTATCTATCAACAAACAATCAAAACTCATGAGTACACTTACTATCTATCAACAAACAGGCAACACTCACAAGTACACTTTCTATCTATCACCAAACAAGCAACACTCATGAGTACACTTACTATCTATCACCAAACAGGCAACACTCACGAGTACACTTACTATCACCAAACAGACAACACTCACGAGTGCACTTACTATCACCAAACAAGCAACACTCATGAGTACACTTACTATCTATTACCAATCAGGCAACACTCACGAGTACACTACCTATCCTTCACAAAACAAGCAACACTAATGAGTACACTAAGTATCAATCACCAAATAGTCAACACTCACGAGTACACTTTCTATCTATCAACAAACAAGCAACACCCTTGAGTACATTTACCATCAATCACCAAACAGGCAACACTCACAAGTACATTTACTAATTATTACAAAACAGGCAACATTCACGAGTACACTTACTAATTATTACAAAACAGGCAACATTCATGAGTACACTTACTAATTATCACCAAACAGGCAACATTCACGAGTACACTTACTATTTATTACAAAACAGGCAACATTCACGAGTACACATTTCTATCTATTACCAAACAAGCAACACTCACGAGTACATTACTATACCACCAAACAGACAATACTCACGAGTACACTTTCTATCTATCAACAAACAGGCAAAACTCACGAGTACACTTACCATTTATCTCCAAAAAAGAAACACTCACGTGTACACTTACCATTTATCTCCAAACAAGCAACACTCACGAGTACATTTCCTATCTATATCACCAAACAGGCAACACTCATGAGTACACTTACTATCTATCACCAAACAGGCAACACTCACGAGTACACTTACTATCTATATCACCAAACAGGCAACACTCATGAGTACATTTACTATCTATATCACCAAACAGGCAACACTCACGAGTACACTTACTATCTATATCACCAAACAGGCAACACTCACGAGTACACTTACTATCTATATCACCAAACAGGCAACACTCACGAGTACAATTGCTATCTATCACCAAACAGGCAACACTCACAAGTACATCTACTATCTATATTACCAAACAGACAACACTCACGAGTGAAATTTCTATCTATCACCAAACAGGTAACACTCATGAGTACATTCACTATCAATCACGAAACAGGCAACACTCATGAGTACACTTACTATCTATCACCAAAGGGGCAACACGAGTACACTTACCATCTATCTCCAAACAAGCAACACTCATGAGTACACTTACCATCTCTCATTAAACTGATGACGTTCACAAGAGTACTTACTATTTGTCGCAGACAACTCTTACGAGAGCATTTACTATCTATCACCAGAGAGACAATACTATAATTATAAGCACAATTTGTTTTGTATTTAAGACTCATGGTAAGTCTACAGATTGCTTATTTTGTATTTGTGAAGTTTCCCCCAGAAATATGTGCCTCTGTCCGTCTTTTACTTGCATACTCCAGGTGGTACAACTAATGATATACTTGGGTATCTAATATAGATAGATTTATAAAATATTTAAATTTATTTTTTATTTTGTTTATTTTGGGTTTTACGTCACATCGACACAGTATAGGTCATATCGCGACGTTCCAGCTTTACTGGTGGAGGAAGACCTCAGGTGCCCTTCCGTGCATTATTTCAGGCACGAATTGGCACCTGAGTATAACCACCGACGTTCGTAAGCTAGCTAGATAGCTTCCTCACATGAAAGAATCCAAAGTCCCTCTCGGGATTCGAACCCACAGCGGTGAGGGGCAAGTGGTTTGAAGTCAACGACCTTAACCACTCGGCCACGGACGCCCCAAAATATTTAAATTGGAAACCTTACTGGCATGCGAGCAGTTCCCGTACAAAAATCGTAGTTACTTAAACATTATTTTTTATTACGCTCACTCACCAAAATTTGAATGTTACACATCACTATTCGGCTCGTCACACAAATCATGGAAATTCCATCATGTTCTAAACATAGAATAACCCTTAGTTATGAGGCCTCATATGGGGTACCGAAATTATCCATTATTTTGTATGAAGAGAAGTAGTTCCCGTACATAAAATTTAACCCATTATAATTATACAATTTTGTTATATCGGACCTATTTTTCAATTATAATTGTTGAACAGACCATTTTCTAAGAGATAAATAGATGTAATTCAGGAAATAGAGCGTAGACTAAACGCTGGTACCGTTACCCCAACGCATTCTCATACAATGGCATGCTTGAATGCATGATATTTTACGCATCAAAGCCATAAAATTATTTAATATAGTAATATTGATCAAAATTCTGATAATTAAACAAGTTTTCATCACATTGCCTACTTATCTGTAAACAGGTGGTATTAGTGGAAAACCCTTTAACAGGCCTCACGTGTAAGTATTTTAGCGCATGCGCGCAAGGACGGAATCCCCCAGAGAAAACAAGGTCACGTTTTGACAACGCACAGGTGAAAGTGATTTAAAATGAGACTTTTATACGTACTGCCGAACTGACACTTAGATTTTGTCTCTTTTATGCATCTGCTTGATTTGAAATGAATTTCTGAAGATTGCAAGTAAAAATCAAGCGTTTAAATGAAAAATACGGGTACTGCTTCTGTACGGGAACTGCTCGCATGCCAGTACAGCAAAATAAAAATGTGCCAAGCTTGGTTTGATTCTGTTCATGGACAACCATAGTAAATGCCTACTAACAGCAATCCTCTAACAGTATTCAAAATTTTAAATAGTGTTGTGTTGTTTTGTTTGGTTTCAATAATGAACGGTCACGTGAGCTAAGAATCACTGACACCCCGTAAGCTAACTGGCTAGCTTCCTCACATGAAAAGAACCTAGTATCATTCTGGATTCGAACCCACAGAGGTGAGGGGCAAATTGTTTGAAGACAAACACCTTAATAACTCAACCACGCCCCTGAAAATGGTGCATTTAAAATTTAGTAACACCAGCATATGTGTTCACGGACTCACCAGACATAAAGCTATAACCATTAATGTATTGGAAAGTAAAATAAAGAACAACAGTTTTATATATTTAATTTTTATTTGTTTATTTCATGACAATGTGTAAACACATCAATTTGACAATGGTTTATTTACATAAAAATACTTTCTTTTAAAAATAAGTCGAATTACTTTTTTCATTATTTACATACACAAAAAATGTTGAATATGAATAAAAATACAAAAAAAAAATTCTTTAATTTCAAAACTTACTATAAATAAATACATAATTATGTAAGTTTCGAATCACAACTTTTCTGTACACAGGCAGACCAGCTGTTATGAAGAAAAAAATCTGGAAAATATCTGGAAAATAATATTTCTAAACATTATTTTTAGATAACAACAAACAAATTATGTAAAATGATTTTAAGATACACCTTACCACGCAAAATTGATCTTAAATGGACGTGTCCATTTTTCAATTGGACAAAACCATTCATTTTTTTTTCAGGGAAAATTTCAAAAATATGTACAGACTTAACATCAAACAGTGCAGACCATGACAGATCAGACTGTACTAATATACTGACTGATCTAGGTCTGCACTGGTTGCATAAATCCGCCACTGCAAGCAAGCTAAGAATTTAATAAACACATATAAGGCACTTATAGTGTTTACAGATACATGTATCTTAAAAATCATCCAACTTTACAATGTGGTAACTTTCATGTAACCGAAGACAACAAGACATATACATGTGTAAAAAAAAGATTTCATTAAGATATCAATATGGCAAATTTTCCAAGCTTGTAAAAAATAATACAAATAATAAACACAATTCCTGACATTCCATGAATGAATAGTGATAATAAAAATACACACAAAAAATTCCTGCTTTTTTTCAGCTTGAATATAAACATATCCCTATTTGAGCCGCGTCATGACAAAACCAACATAATGGGTTTGCGACCAGCATGGATCCAGACCAGCCTGCGCATCTGCGCAATCTGATCAGGATCCATGCTGTTCGCTTACAAACCCTATTACAAGTAGAGAAACTGATAGCGAACAGTATGGATCCTGACCAGACTGCGTGGATACCATACCTCTGTTAGGCTATGGCAACACTGGTGCGGTGAGTGGAGCTCATCAAGGTGCATGCACCTGTGATGATTAGAGGCTGTAAGCAAGACATCTGTGTTATGGTCGAGGTTAAAATTTTATGACAAACAGAAAAGCAAAAAAAAAAAAAATACAACATAAATACCAAATTCAACCTTCCCTCTATCTGGGGGAATTAATAAAAGGATACAAATAAATACAATTCCTGATTTCATGATAAGAAAGGAGGGGCTACAGGAATTTAAACTGTTATTTTTAGCAGGCCTCAAAGTTATTAAACTTTTTTGACCAGGCCTCAAGATTATCTCTTTTTTTTACCAGGCCTCAAGGTTATAAAACTTCAGTCTGAACCCCATTCTTAAATCTCACAATTTTTATTGGTAAGGTGTACATTCTGTGCCGATTTCTGACCAATCAAATACCTGAGATTAAAGTCTAGAGCTGAGAAAATTGCTTAATAACCTCTGATCCAACAGACATTTTCATGGAATGATTATCTTCCAAGCTTTACATGTCATTTCACATGACAAATAAGAAATGATGCTAATATAGCACATATATCATGTTATTAAAGCTGCATGCCTCCAGATGAGAAAAACATATTTAAGAAAATCAAACTTGAGAAAAATGTATTAAGATTAAAAAAAAAGTAAAAAGATTCACAAGTCAAGTAGTAATTTACATATCATATGTGATTAATGACTGATTTTGCAGTATATATATTTCTACTGCACGACTAAATATATTACCATGTTGGTAATTTATGCGGCTTTTATGTTCAGTTTGCAATGTGTAAATTACTTCCTTTGTTCTCTTCACAATATTCTATTTTTAAATACATTTTCAAAATTTTCATCAAAACAAGATTTTCAAAATTTTCGCGAAAATTAGCATGAAACTGGAAGCATGCTGCTTTAAGCGATGAAAAAGATCATTACAAAACATATAAAAAATATTTTGATTCTAGTTTCATTTTACCGGTACAAGACTGAAAATTCTCCACAGTACAAATACATGACATTACCCACACAGTACAAGGCAAGAGAAAATGAAAAAAAAAATTGGCAATTTTTTTAAAATCAAAGTCTGTGCAGCGCTGGGCTACTATGTCTTATTTTGATCAAAACTCGAAAAGAGAAGCAAAATAACGAAATGATGAATAATGCTTTGTTCTCATACATATAGGATCCATGATGAATAACTCAACAGTAATAGTCAATGCTCTCTGTATGTTAAAGGCTCATACTTTCAATCAAAGAACAAAGTTTAAAAACAAAACAAATTTAAAATAAAAGGAAATGTATAAATATACTCAAAGTAACAATATGTATGATTTATACTGAATAGAACTGGATTTATATTTCTAAACTTCATTAAACTGCCTTGTCAATGACATATAACTAAGGGTTATTTCTGCATATCTTGATAAAACACAAATGATTTTTTTTGTTATTAAATAAAAACTGAATTTTGTGGGAATAAGAATTCTGTGCAATGCAACTGCATAGTCTAAAATTATATATAAAACCAAACAAACAAACAAACAGGGGAGTATATCAGACAATTCATAAAATTGTTTATTTCACCGTCTTAATTTAGTTAAGAATAGGTATTTTTTTCAGTCTGTTTACCAAAAATACACTGCATTAAAGAAAAACTTCTATAATAATACAAATAATCTTTCATATTTTAGATCCGCAGCTTTCCTAGTACTCCTTACTCTTTCTGTAACGGATAACACTCCAAAAATTACAGATTATCTCGCAATGGCAACACAATACTTGTCTGAATTTTTTCATAGAGTCACCAGACACTGTTAAAATATGACAGCTGTCGGGAACTGTCATCAGAAACTGTCAGAATTTAACAGACATTTTGTGTATTCTCGTTGACTGAATAGTTCAGAGTGTATATTAAGACAAATACAACACTTAGTCCTACATCTTCCTGCTGAAAGAAACCAGTTTCAGTACAAGCAGGTCAATAAAGGGAGATAAATCCAATATGGCCCTGAATGAAGGGAGATAAATCCAATATGGCCCTGAATGAAGGGGAATAACTCCATCACAGTTAGTTTTATACAGTGTATATTGTCATCAAACATATCCTAGTCTTGCTAATGCCATCTGTTTACGTAATCTCACAATCTCATAGAATACATTCCGATCTGAAATAAACAAAGTATAAGAATGTATGTAAAAAACAAAATTGTTCGTTTTGAATTTTTTTTTATCCTGCTAACCAAAAGTGTATAGATTTTAACACATCTGTGTGATGTAGTTTGTCCAGGCTTTGTAATATTGGCAGACTAACTTAAATTTTCATCTTGATATCCCTAAAACTAATAATGGACAGTTCCGAAAAACCTGAAGGTGGACAAGCTCAGAAATTCAGCAACTTAATTACAAAATTTGTATGTAAAATCATCGTCAAATTATCTTTGAGTCTGCTACATTGTTCCTGCATTTATAAATCGTTAAGTCCAACATAATCTTTTATTTTTCTATCTCAACACAACCATTTTTAGGGATACTTTTAAAATTTGAAAAGACTGAATATTAAACACTTTAGACCATGATCAGACAGGCACAGATGCTCAGATGAGATGATCATGGTCTGCACTGGTTGAATGGGTAGAATCTTTTGCCACCTGCAGACTGAAAAAATCATTTTTTTAATGATTGAGTTTCACGTCACACCAACATGGTATTGGTCAAATGGGGACTTTCCAGCTTTACTGGGGAGGAAGACCTAAGGTGCAACCCTGTACATTATTTCAGGCACAGTAGAACCACCGATGCTCCCTTATCTAGATGGATAGCTTTCTGATGTAGAATCTGATGACATTTGCACGGCTCTAACCTACATCGATGAGAGGCAAATGGTTTGAAGTCAACCACCATTACCACTTTGTCAAAGACTGAGAATGATGGAGGGTCTGCTTGCTCTCTCATTTTTATTGTCTTTCATAATGCATCTAATCCCATGATAAGATATGCAACTACCATTTCTTGTTAAACATTTCATATTTATATATAATACACTAACCTTCACTCTTCACAAGCCCTTGTTGTATATATCTAACATAGGTGAAAAAATCACACACAGCAGCAATCTGTAACAACATAAACCAATTATCATACATTAACTGTACAATATATGTAACCACAGCTGTCAGAAAGAACCACATATTTTGTCAATAGTAACTTTGTCATATGTGTGTGTGTAATAAAAAATAACAACAATAATTGTAAAGTAAAATTTCTGAAGTAACAAAGAATATAAGTCAGAATAATTTTTTTTAAAGTGGATTGGTCTACAGTGGGCACATTTTCTATAAGTACTTCAAATACTGATAAAAACAATAGGAATTTTTCATTTGGAAATTCATTTAAAATATTGCTTGGAAAATACATTGTAAATCAATAAAGTTCTAAGAGATTCAGTATAAACATTTATAAAATTATGATGAGTAATTATATTTTATTCTAGAACATTTTATTATCTGCTATATAAATAAAGGTAATATCAGATCCTGTATCTCAAACTTTCCAACAACATCCATATAAGCATAAGTATTTTGTGGTTTGATGTTATGTATGATACTATATACTACAAACGCTATTATTTATGGTTTTGCAGACCTTCCGTTATAGACCAATTCAGAAGTTCACAAATTCTTTGCATAGACAAACTACTCTTTTGTAAGGGTAATTAGTGACATAATCACTATACAGATCATAATTATAACTTTCCTCCAGCTTTATTAGTTAGTGGTAAAAGGCTTCAAATATAAATTCAGACCCATAGAATGGTATATAGAAATCTCTTTATTTCTATGTTTGAGAAATGTTGATAAGTGCCCCCTTCTGTTTGGGGGGGGGTTGAAGGCAGTCCCCTTATCGCCAAGAAAGTTTTGGACTTGTCAGAGGCTAAAAATGACCCCAGATTAATCATAAGGTAACGTGTAACCAACGCTGAAAAGCATTTGACTCTATCTCAATCCATCGAGAAGTTGCAGCACTTTGAAATCAATTTTGATGGAAAAAATCAACGCAAAATAGTGATTTTTGGCAATTTTGAGATGTCCCCTCGTTGCCATGGTAACAGGAAATTTAAGCCCGAGCATGTTGTTACAAATGCAATGGTCCAGTCAACATTTGTGCCAAGTTTGATTAGTATTGAAGCAGTTTTTATAGTTTTATAGCAATTTAAACTTTTAAAGGGAGACTTTTCAATGAAAACAACCATTTTTCACAAAATGCTCATGAAGTAATGGGTTAAGAAATCATGATAAAAACTTACTCTATTTCTACAGTGTTGAGATATATTATACCACTCATTGTCATCTCCCAGTTTTACTTTGTAATTACATACTTTGACAATCTTTGACAGCTGACACTCACTGAAAACACAAAATATCAATATTTCATTCATTTTCCCCACAAATGTTACCCAGCGAAAGTGATAAGCCTTTGCCACCAGAATAGATTGATAGGCCAGCCAGCACAGGCACTACACTGTTAGTTTATACAAATTTATTTTAGTTCCATTTGTGTTGGAAGCTATAAGCTTCCTAAAATACTCTCAAATCTGTTCCAGGAATGATCATAAATTTTCTTACTCATGGAAATAATGGCTTGCAACTGACTGGGGTTTGAACCCACACAGCCAGTAATCCTAAGGTTACTGAGTCCAACATGTTAACCACTTGGCCATGCCGCCACTACACTGTTACATAACTAACTCCAAAATTTGATCTTGATATCCCTAAAATTGATAATGGGCAGTTCCAAAAATTAAGAGCTGGGCAAGTCAATTTACAAAATTCAGCAGGTTAATGGTTTTAGTCTCACGTTTATAAACTATCTTAAAAAAAAAATGTCATTATCAAATAATTAAGAATTTGGTAAATGTGTTATCATTTGCACTCTATAAGCCTCTGCACATTTTATGATGACCAACCACACTCTATTATAGCATCACCAAATATTCTACTCTGTAACTAACAGAACAAGAGTTACATTTTCCCATATTTAATGTGAAGTATGATTTTTCAGCAATATTAAGTACCATTGACTTGCCAATCCTATTTTTGTACATTAGTTTGATGTGATATACCATTTTTCATTATTTCTAAAAGTGCAAATGACATACCAATCCTTTTTTTGTACATTCACAAGGTTTTAGCTATTCAGAACATTTTCTAAAGATTCTTAAAAATAAGATTATAGCTGGAGGTCAGAGGTGACCTGACTGTTGTATATAAAATGTATGTTTTGACTAGAAAGTTGTTGGCAAATGTTTGGTAGAAACATATTTTATTTGTCATAAACAAGAACAAATTTTGCATGACATTCACAATGAATATAAAAAGGATGAGACTAGAAGCAACCTAATGCTTATTGAAGTCCTTTGGCTTAATTTTGTGCTCATTTTTAATCCAATTGTAATTTCGCACCATTTGAAGAATTGCATTCTATAATATAGTACGTTTAACTTTAACATATATGTACATATGGCTTATTTTTTAGCTTCACTATGCCTTAGAAATGCTTTTACTTTATTTCTCCAAAGCTTTTTCATTTTGGTGTACTTTTATAGTGCCCAAAAGTTACTCATTGGTTAATTACCAGAACCATCTTTTTTTCACCTTTTGCTTAAAGTGAATTAGTATTTTGTATGGAAGTCAAAATACTTCTTTGTTTTACTTTGCTACTTTCATGACAAATTATTTCACATAAATCTCTGCTTTTTCAGGTAACAAGCATCTAACATTTCTCTAAAACCTTAATTTAAACATTATAAAATTCATGTTTGCCCTTTCTATATATAAAGAAGTAAAAATTTATTTGTTTCTGAAGCATAATGTGCCTTTAATTTTGATGGTTTTCTGACACTTATTCAGATAATATTAAGAAAAAAACATTTAACAGAAATGTTATGAAAGCTGACCTTTTATAGTATTAGATTTTTTCATCACATAATTTTATAAAGAGGATGGCAAAACTATCTGCATACAATGGGACTGAACACAATATATAGGAAACTAATAATAAGTGAAATCTTCACCTTAGTGCATTAACTTCTTAACTCCTATTAACTTATCTAAAGAGTTAACCCGTTACTGCACTAAAGTGACGCTAAAATCCTCATGTGATAAAGAACACAGATGTATCTATGGAGAACAATTAAGGTTATCAAATGACGGGGAGTAACAGATTAGCACAATTTACTTACTTCACGTAAACATGGTCACCGCCAACTGGTTCTATAGCTAGAGTATTATTTTCCACACATGTCAATACCTTCTCTGCTAGCTGAAAAAAGAACAATATAATTAACTATCACTCCTACAGTAATTTACCCTCATTATAACATACAAAATGTATTGTAGATATAAATTTACATGACTGATAGATAAACATTCCAACACAAAATGACCTTCAATGATATTTTTATCTCAGCATGTGTTTGGTTTTCTTGTTGTTCAGTTTTAATTCATGGAATTCTTTTTTATTTCTCCAATCTGCAAGTTTCACAGTCAACTGCCTACATTGTTTTTGTTTTTTTGTTTGTTTGCTTCTAAAGCGCCCCAACACAATTTAGGTCATATGACATCAAAATGGGAAGGACGATTTTGGCTGACCTTGGGTGTTACAAACTTAAACCAAGCTTAGACTCCAGTAATTTGATCCATAAACTCGCCTTTTACAATCACACGATACATGGTGGCTGCAATTCTGATGCCTCAGGCAATCTCTCAGCCACAAGGGGAACTGCCACAATCGGCAACTTGCTTTATTGGTTATTTCAATCCTACACTAAATATCTGAAATGGACTTATCTGTCAATCTGGATAAAACCATTTATCATTTTCATTATTTCATCATAAGTGCTGACTTAACAGCAAGCAGTGCAGACCATGATAGGACAGCACAGAATGTGCCAAGTGATAGGTACTAACATGGGCAAAATGAGTTACCATCAGAAAGCTAAGGATTATAGTGCCAATGACAGTTTTAATCTTAGGTGGTCTGTCATTCATAGGAAACCATCTGAGATTTACCATCCATCTTTCAAACTGGTCTGATACCTTTCTCATATGAAATTTAAAGTCAGTATTGGAATTCAAAACTCACAGCAAGAAGACAGAAGTATTTTAGTCCACTTAATATATAATTAAATACAGTACCACACTAGCAGGTGATTATATGACTAAGGTCAATGGAGTCAATACCAGTAACTAATTCAATTTCAACCATTAACCCTCCTAAATTTCTTAAATTATGTCTTGTCAAGCTTACATTATGAAACTGTCCATTATCAAATTTTTGGGGGATATCAAGACGACAAATTCAATGTTAGCCAACCCAACAGCATAGAGATTGGTTAGACTGCACAGATGTGCAAGCTAGCCTGGCTTTATACTGGTAGCAAAGGCTAATTAATTTCAACTGCACCAGGGTAAGTATTAACCTAACTTATTACCAAGGTTTTATTGTTCATACTGTTTGTGCCAAGTGTCTAAAAAACTGGCATAACACAAAACTATAGAACCATGGACAAACAAAGTGGCCACAATCTAAAATAATTCAATGACCCTTTTCATTCCATGAAAGGTTACCTCGCAACAACAAAGACATTGTTTCAATGCATTTTTATACCAAGACAAGCTTTAAAGTCAAGTATATTTCCATTCTACAGCATGTAAAAAGAGAGGTACCTATAACACTATTACAATACTTTTATCCAATAAAAACATTATTTTCAAAGTTAATTAGTGATTACTATTCAAATTACCAGCCTTAGTTTTCAATAAATTTTCAAGCCCCTATAAACTCGACTTCTTCACATTAACTACTATAACATGTAAAGCCACACTGTTACTGTCACTTACTAGAGTATTTGAAAAGTTGAGACAGGTACAAATATCTTCTGCTGCTATTCTAGAAATGAATGGACATTTTCTCGACATAGATGGATTTCGCCTCCAAGTTCGAAACTCTTCAAAACAAACATCATCTATCTGTAAATAAAACAAGTTAATTTCCATTTAGACATGTTTATAGTTACAGTCTTAGTAGAGAAAACATATCTGTTAACACATTAACATTTGTTAATATGGCAATTCTTAGTACAGCCATTTTTTTTAGGTTAAAATAGCAACTCTTTGTTTAACCAATAATTCTGTTAAAATGGAACTCATTGCATGGCCAATATACATGTATATTATTTTGTTAGTATAAAATTCTAGGTACACTTAAAATACTTATTAATAAGGCAACTTTTAGTAGAGCCAATATATCTGTTTATATGGCAACACTAGAGAATGTAAACATAAGTGACAAAATGTTTCACAATTAAATTGACTGTAAGAATGCTTTGAGCCTTCTTTTTCTGTGATACAGAAAATCTTATTTTCAATCCAGTATTTTACAGCAGAAACAGTAACTTTTTATATGGCAGAATTGTAACCATATAATATCTGTTTGTGTCTTGCACTATAATCATGGAAGTTTAAAATAAAATGTAATTGCCTTCAAACACAGCTCTCTAACAATCAGACAATCTTTATTTGCATAATAATTTGGAAGTAAATTTTCATAACAGAGGCTAAATTTCCTGGAAAATTTTGTTAAACATTCAACTTAATATATATTATCAAACAGAGCATTTCGCTTAGAATTTTATCATACTAATTTCCTTCCTCCTTGGAAATTATAAAATGATTTAAATGCTTAATAGTTTGTTCATACAATTTGAAAACATTTAACAATAATCTTTAAAAAAAAACAAAAAAAAACAACAAATTACAATGTTCATATCATCATAGTTTGGAAAAAAAAACACATCCAAAAAACATGAAGATTACTTCTGGACATCATTCATATTTTAATTTGTTTATTCTTGCAAAAAAGCCAGAATGAGCAAAGAAACTCTTTATTTATAACTTAACTACATGTATATTTAACTCGTTGCCTGCTGGTGGCAATGGAATCTAATCATGTGACCTAGCTGTCAGTGCACTGTTGTGCCCTGTCTGATCATTGTATGCACTATTCGCCATTCGATTATAATAATCATTTTGAAATTTTCCCTAAAAAGGGCATATGATTTAGTTCTGAAAGTAAAACGGACAAGTCCCTCTTAGATATTTAGCACATCCGATGGTAATTAGTATTTAAACATCTAATGTTACATTTATGTGTATGCTTTCAAAAATCATCACAGTGTTTGCATTTTTGGACATTGCTGATTCATGTAAATCACACCCAGGTTGTATAACTGTTAAAGTTCAACAACAATGGCATCTGTGATCATATTTACTCTTTATTATTTGCTAAGTAATGTGAACTGATAGCTGACAGTCACTCTTTGATCAATGTTACATTATATCACGAACGAGGGCACTTTAATAAATTGTTTTGAGTTTTATACAGCTTTTCTCAGAAGTGTCATTATGTTTGATAACAGCGGAGTCATTTCTTAAAGCAGAAGGATATTAAAAATCAGCCAGAAAAGAAAACAATTTAAAGTAATTAATCAATGTAGGCAGCAACAAGTCTGTTGTAAGGGATTTCGACTGGGAACGTTTAAACTCCCCCCCCCCCTTCTTTTATTATGAATGAGGAAAACCTCATTACATTGTATATGCATTATGTATTTGCAGGTGCAAGTCAAAATGAAACAGTTGCTTCCTTATAAAGAGAACAATAATGGCAAATAAACTCCATGATAAGTTCATTGGGAATTTTACAAAGCTACATGTACCCAATGTCAAAAATGAAAGCCCTTTCTCCTCTTATAAAGAACACTGCTTGAGAAGAAGCTGTTTCTCTAGATGTTTGTTTTATCAACATTAAATGTGCACATCTTTAAGAGCAAGCATTAGACAATAATTACCACAAAGTGATCAACATTGCAAAACATTGATTTTATAAAACTCACAAAATCTCCAGTCAAATACTGTCATAAACAGCTCATAAATCTTTCAGAATTGTCTCATAAACCTAACATTAAAAATGCTGGCTTAATTTTTCTCTAAAGAACAAAAACAGCCACTTCAACAGCACAGAATATAAATTATTCATCAATCAGTTCTTAATTTCCTTGAATTTTTTTATGGATGTGCTGACAGGCTGGCCTGGCAACAAACCAGCTGCCAAGGGTAAAGGCTGGCCTGGCTCTATCAAAATGCAAAGGGTAAAGGCTGGCCTGGCTCTATACTGGCTACAAAGGGTAAAGGCTGGCCTGGTTCTATACAGGCTGCAAAGGGTAAAGACTGGCCTGACTCTATACAGGCTGCAAAGGGTAAAGACTGGCCTGACTCTATACAGGCTGCAAATGGTAAAGACTGGCCTGACTCTATAATGACTGCAAAGGGTAAAGGCTTGCCTGACTCTATACTGGCTGCAAAGGGTAAAGGCTGGCCTGGCTTTATACAGACTGCAAAGGGTAAAGGCTTGCCAGGCTCTATACAGGCTGCAAAGGGTAAAGACTGGCCTGGCTCTATACAGGCTGCAAAGGGTAAAGGCTGGCCTGGCTCTATACAGGCTGCAAAGGGTAAAGGCTGGCCTGGCTCTATACAGGCTGCAAAGGGTAAAGGCTGGCCTGGCTCTATACAGGCTGCAAAGGGTAAAGACTGGCCTGGCTCTATACAGGCTGCAAAGGGTAAAGGCTGGCCTGGCTGTTTACAGGCTGCAATGGGTAAAGGCTGGCCTGGCTCTATACAGGCTGCAAAGATGAAAGGATGGCCTGGCTCTATACAGGCTGCAAAGGGCAAAGGCATACAGGCTGCAATGGGTAATCACTATTGGTCCAAGCAGGTTAAGAGGTAAATATAAGAACATAATTCAAACATTTCAACTGTCTCTATGTGTACGAATAGATACTGCTAAAAGGTAAAAGACAATAATTACAAATTGGCATAATCATGCAGAATTGTGACAATGCAAATTGAATATATTGAAATGTCACCTGAATGACTTGAAACTTGTTATGCTGTCAAACACTGGTAAAATCTTGTAAACAGTCTATGAACTGATACTGCCTTATCAGGTCATGAAACTTGATATATTTTGAAAGATCATAAAACAAACTAAGAGATCAAAATAACAACAAACAGGTGCCACTTTTATACCACTTTTATGCCACATTGGCATGAACATGAAATTAAAATGAAACAATTATATGACAATTATAACAAGTTGTAACTGGAGCAGCATTTTAAAGTTAGAGTTTATGTCTCCATGGTAAGAGCTCTTAAAGGGACTCAACTTAGGTCAAAATAAAACATAAAATTTGAAAATCTTAAAAATATCAAGTCAAGCACTTACAATAGAAAAACATGCAAAAAATAACAGATAAATATACTCAGAATTTGATTGATAATCAATTTTTTGTGTGATTCTTAGCTGGATTTGTGTAAAAAGCCTTCTTATATGGACAAGAAAAATGATTATTCTGGAAAAACTGGGTGAGGGATTTATGACCTGAAAATTTGCACACAAGTCATTGGTCCAGACTTTATACATCAATTAGTTAATAAATCTCTGGAAAGTATTTAAAGTCTGGTCATGTCAAAAATATGTATGTTATTTTATGTAGAATATAAGTTCTATATGGGATTTACTTTTAACATGGTAAAGTTTAAATGTTTTTATGTATTCTGAAGATTAACTATTAAATACATTTAAGTTTTCACCTGAATAATCTTTTTCATAAGGGACAAAAGTCACATCACTTGTAAACACTTGATGATTCTGCATTCTGGCCACCTCTCAAGCCCTAACTTCGGTCACAAATATGTCCTAATATGACACCAATACTGACAAGTTCTCGAAACCAAGATTTCTTCACAATCGAACATTGATTTATGTTGAAACTAAGTACTTGGCCAATAATTGTCAAAACTTAAAGGGACTCCACTGAGATTTTTTGACATGTTAGAACTGGAGATAATTTTTTAAGATTTATGTTCGATTTGATGTACATCTAGAACAATTATAACCTGTGTAACAAATTTAAGATCTGTCACACACACGATTTCAAGAATAATTTTTCAAATTGTGAACAAGAGCTTGGTAGGACAGCAACGCTCGACTATTCTTAGTGCTTGATAGTAAAAAAAATGCTTGATACAGTTACCTCCTCCTGTTTACAGGTTGGGGTCATGATGGTGAACAAGTGTGCAAAGTTTCAAAGCCATATGTCAATGGAGTTTGAAAATATTTGAACTATTACAAAAACTTTAACGTAAATTCTAAGTCGAAAAAGGGGCATAATTCTGTCAAAATGCTTGATAGAGTTACCTCCTCCTGTTTACAGGTTGGGGTCATGATGTTGAAACAAGTGTGCAAAGTTTCAAAGCCATATGTCAATGGACTTTGAAAATATTTGAACTATTACAAAAACTTTAACGTAAATTCTAAGTCGAAAAAGGGGCATAATTCTGTCAAAATGCTTGATAGAGTTACCTCCTCCTGTCTAAGTTGGGGTCATGATGGTGAACAAGTGTGCAAAGTTTCAAAGCCATATGTCAATGGACTTTGAAAATATTTGAACTATTACAAAAACTTTAACGTAAATTCTAAGTCAAAAAAGGGGCATAATTCTGTCAAAATGCTTGATAGAGTTACCTCCTCCTGTTTACAGGTTGGGGTTATGATGTTGAACAAGTGTGCAAAGTTTCAAAGCCATATGTCAATGGACTTTGAAAATATTTGAACTATTACAAAAACTTTAACGTAAATTCTAAGTCGAAAAAAGGGGCATAATTCTGTCAAAATGCTTGATAGAGTTACCTCCTCCTGTCTACAGGTTGGGGTCATGATGGTGAACAAGTGTGCAAAGTTTCAAACCATATGTCAATGGACTTTGAAATATTTGAACTATTAAAAAACTTTAACGTAAATTCTAAGTCGAAAAAGGGGCATAATTCTGTCAAAATGCTTGATAGAGTTACCTCCTCCTGTCTACAGGTTGGGGTCATGATGGTGAACAAGTGTGCAAAGTTTCAAAACCATATGTCAATGGACTTTGAAAATATTTGAACTATTACAAAAACTTTAACGTAAATTCTAAAGTGAAAAAGGGGCATAATTCTGTCAAAATGCTTGATAGAGTTACCTCCTCCTGTCTACAGGTTGGGGTCATGATGGTGAACAAGTGTGCAAAGTTTCAAAAGTCATATGTCAATGGACTTTGAAAATATTTGAACTATTACAAAAACTTTAACATAAGTGGTTACGCCGACGCCGACGCTCGGGTGACTGCAATAGCTCTACTTATTCTTATCGAATAGTCGAGCTAAAAATGATCTATATTAGAGTCAGGCACTGAATAGCACAACATATGATTTTCAATTTATTTCGGATTATATTTCGTAATTACCTTTACATTTCTTTCTGTTTTAAATTCCCCTAAATCCAAATTTTGTTTTTAGGCTTTTGGACCTCAGTGGAGTTCCCTTAAATCTGGAGAAAAATCACACATATATTACATGTATATAAAACAAAGCATACTCACTTCTTGACAATGATCATTATGTGACATACGATCTGTTTCTGTCTGTATTCTGTCTTCTTTAGTAAACTGGTGATGACTTGTCGACCTATAAAATTATAATACATATAATAAGAAATGTTCAAAAAAATAGTAGTAAATAATTTAAATTATACTTGGAATTTGCACAAAGTTAAGAATTCTTTGTAATGTAGATTTTAAGAAGACAACATCAATAATTCTTTGTTATGTAGTTTTTAATTGGACAACATTAATAATTGTTCACAACATAGATTTTAAATGGACAACATTAACAATTTTGTAATGTAGATTTTAATTAGACCAAATTAATAGTTCTTTATAACTAAGATTTTAATTGGACAACATTAAAAATTTTTTGTAACGTAGATTTTAAATGGACAAAGTTAGCTTAATGACTCTATGTAATGTAGAAATTTTATTAGACAATGTGAATACATACAGTTACAACAAATTTATGAATAAAGTTTAGGCCTCGATGAACTTTTCTAGGATCACTCGCACTGTGGGGCAAGTGACCATACAAATTTACTTGCCCCTCATAAAATGTACTTGCCCTGCATTTTGACGGACAAAATGGCAAAAAACGCGAGAGTTAAATTTACTATTTAGTTAAATAACCATGTATAACTAATACTTGACTAGATGATCTGAGATATATATTACAACCATTTAACACTGGGCCATAAAACCAATCAAAATAAATATAACTACAGTCCGACCCCGGTTATTTGACAACCCTTTATTCGAATACCCGGCATTATTCGAAGTAGATCGGCGGTCCCGTTTTTATATCTATAAAAATCAATATAATGACAAGCGTATTATTCGAAATACATTATCAGAATACCTTCTATTTTTCGAAGTAAAATTTCGGTCCCGATTATACAATATAAAAGAATTTCACATCTATTATTCGAAGCCAGACTAATTATAATTCGAAGCAAGACTAATTGGTGCATATCCACTCGCTGACAGGTCGACTTATGAAAAAATATCAACAGTCATGAGTGTATTTAGACAATCATGATAATTACGCATTGTGTGTTCTTTAATCAACTTTAATTGCCGATTGTTACTGTAGATGACAGCAATAATTTTCAAACATACCGTATATGTGAATTTGTCAAAACATCCAAAAAATTTTTTCATTAATTGTAACGCTACATGAGAGCCTTTACCCTAATCAAAAATACCAGAGTTTAGCTGTAAATACCGTAGTGAAAACACGGTCATTATCAAGGCTTTGCATGAAACGAAACAATACATAATGTAGAATAAAATGCAAGTATTTACATGTATGTCTTCAATGCCAATAAAATCATTTTTACGCATCTTTTCTTTAATATCTATTTTTTCTCAATTTATTACAGGAATTAAGTGTGAAGTAAACGGTAGTTTTGCTATGATTGGTCAAAGTGGAGTAGTTTTCATCTATCACAATATGACGATTTCGATTATTCGAACCTATCGATTATTCGAAGTAAATTTTTAGTCCTAGGCACTTCGAATAAACAGGGTTGAACTGTAAAAGAATTAAAGTGAGTTACCTGCGATGAGTTTTCCAGAATGGTTTCAAGTTTTTATCTTTCTTTTTATCTTTATTTGCTGCCTCTGTATCTGCTATTTGTGGATGAAGATGCTTGTTCGGGGAACTTGGTGTTGATGTCAACACCAGCTGCTTTAGTGCACTGACCTCAGCTTGCAAAACCTCTACCTGTTTTCAAATATAAAGCTTAATTAACAAGAAACCTAATAAACTTGTGTAATGAATTTCTCTTACTTTGAATTCGGAACAGTCCAATAAACATTTAATGGATTTCTATCTAACAATACAAGAATGGAGCTATCAACAGTACAGAACCCAGTCAGTCTGCACAGAAATGCAGACCACAGAAGTTCAGTCAAGTCTGGCTCTTACAATACTGACTGTGGCAGTGACTAATTAATTTCTTTTCCAGCAGATAACAGGTTAAGTACTCCAAGATATTGTCATAACTGTTTCTTGATATAACTTTAATTACTGGGTTTTCATTTTTATCTCAGGCAACAGATGTGCCAACGAAAACAACAGATTTGGCCTAGGGTCATGGGTGATATTTTAATCTACATGCTAAATATACATGTAACTTATCTTAACAGCATTTCAACTGATGATATGGATTGCAAATCTGTTAATTATGAAAACTCTGATTAACCCTGGACGAAAAATGTCCCTTCCAATTGTCCCCTAATGCATCAATGCTTCAAAAATTTTATTGTACATAGTGTTATCACCTGTAACTTTTTCAGAAAATGTTGCTTTTTTATGTTTATTCATTAATATATTTTTTCAGTTTAAGCTAGTTGTACATGGCAGGGGAAGACTTCTGGTGCAGTAGCATGCATTATATCAGACACAAGTTCACTGCTGATATTCCATAAGCTAGCTAGCTAGCTATCTCACTTAAAACAACCCCTTAATTCCTGGGAGGATTAAAACAACAATTGAAAAGTGGCGAGAGATTCTAAAACATGATATGAGCCATGTCATGACAAAACCAACATAATGCGTTTGCGACCAGCATGGATCCAGACCAGCCTGTGCATCTGCGCAGTCTGATCAGGATCCATGCTGTTCGCTTACAAATCCTATAACAAGCAGAGAAACTGATAGTGAACAGCATGGATCCTGATCAGACTGCGCAGATGCGGCTCATATTACATATTCACAGTAGCACTTGATAACAGGATACAAAATATTGTGACAAAATTAAAACAAAACAAAATATTTCTCACCAGATTACTAGCCACAATATGACACCGTTCACACACATATATTTCACTTCCACATGTAATTATTTTAAACTGTGTGACAAATCGTGTTCACAAAGGATTGACACATTCTAACACTTATTTCAAAAGGATATAGCCCAATACTTGGTGTGATTTTTAGTTTTAAATTCCGATCTTCATGGCGTCACAGTGGCATCACACTTATGATACTGTGTTATGACTACTAGACTTTCCACCTTTACTGGAGGATTCAGCCCCCAAATTGTTTTTTTTTTTGTTTTTTTAGGCAAGGACAATCAACTTTTCACAATAAACACACAAATAAACTCTAACCCACAGTGTCGAGGGGCAAGTGATTTGTGATCAACAGACTTACTTACACCACTAAGCCATCTGAGCAATACCCAGCCCTAGTCAACCATCCTCTATGCCAAACATCTAACAGACGCTGCTCACACACAAAAAATGAAAATATTTAAAATCGTGTAGAAAAGTTACCTGTTGGTTTGACTCTCCTAACAGTTTCTCAGTGTGTATTCTTTTAAGATTTGCTTCCTGCACCATGTTGTTTGCTTCCTAAAATCATAACATTTTAGGTATCATATAAGATTATAAAGACAATAAAGTTCCTTTTTTATTCAAAGAATGAAAGGAATATCAAAATATTCCACTCCTTATCAGTAAAACTGAGAATATTGAGCTTTACTTTGTAGTTCTATAGTATGACATAGTTTGGTTTTACGATGCGCTACACTGGTCGAAGTAGATCTTAATGCTGCCCCATTAGACACGAACAGGCATCTGAGTAGAACCACCAATGTTTCATATGCTAGCTGGACAGCTACCTCATACAAAGAATCCAATGTGTCTGGTTGGATTTAAACCAACAACAGTGAGGGCAAAGTGATTTGAAGTCAATAACGGCTTAACCATGCGACAATGGACGCCCCAAGCCAATAGTAGAAGTAAAACTTAATACACACCAAACTTGCCAAAACAGTATAATGTGCCATGAGCAAAACAAATTTTCAGATCACGTATTAGGTAAATAATACATTTCGATTTAAAATCTAGTTTTCTTAGACAACTTTCATTACAATGATTTGCTATCAAGCCAGATATTCTTTTGTTTTACTTATGTACGGGAAAAGTTTGTGTCCCTTGGCCAGAAATTTGAAAATTGAAAAATTTCAAGGATATTGGTAGTGATATGAACAATGAGTCAATGTACTGTAAAACCGTAGTGAAAAGGATATTAAAAGGTTGGCAAAAAATCAGTATTGCCAGGTCCAACAGGTAAATCACCAAAAACAAGACTGATAGTGTGTTTGAAACGTTTTTTTTTCCACAGATGGATACAGAATTGCAGAATGAAAACAGAAGACTGTTAAAATGTACCTCAAACAAGCTCGCAGTTAGTTCTTCCAGCTCCTCCCCTATTTGATCACGAACTTTCAGCAACTTTTCACACTCTTCATCCTTTAACTTCAACTCCTGAAAAAATATCACAAATAATTGTGTCATTCTTAGAGCAAAAAGTCAAATTTCCATGGTAATATACCTTTATTATGCTTGTAACCTTATCATTCAGATTCTACCCATGCAACCAGCACAGTGAGACCGCCACTGCACAGATGTAACCATCTGTGCAATCAGATCATGGTCCACACTGTTTGCTATTCACTTAGTACTTATTTTGAATTTTTTCCCCAAAAAATATTGAATTAAGTTTTGCCCAGATTGAAAGATGGAAAAGTCCTAACATTTAGCACAGTAAGGATTATTATCTTTACATAACTTATATGTACATGGAACTGTAAAAGTTATTTTTGAATATTTTGACACATTGTGTATATATAACTTTTAAGGATAGTTCATGCTTTAGACCTAAGCTTGGGTAAATCATTTTATTTGACATTCTAATGTTACAATACTTAAAACACCTTGATTAAGTCTTTCTCTCAATGACCACAAAAATGAGTGTGTCAGTCTGTAGGCGTGTCCACGCCTTGTGTTTGTAAATATCTGTAAAAATCAACCACCACAGAATCAAATTTCAATCTGGAGGTGCAAGTCTAGCTTTATGTTACAAAATTTATCATTTTAAATATCACCAATCGGACTGGGTTTTCATGATGAAGTATAATTTTAAAATTTCATAAACTTTAAAAAGTGTTGGTTCCCCCAAAATACCCAATGGTATCAAACTTAAGTAGAAATAGTGTTTTTTTTTATTTTCTGTGCTGATCAATTTTATTTCATCAACATAAAATTATGAATACTATAATTCTTTTAGTGAAGTAGATGTTAGTAGACATGTGTAGCACAACTGTTTGTAATCATGTGAATAGGGGGTGGTGATAATTATTGCGATAATTTTTAACAATTATCATGCAAAGTTTTAACAATTATCATACAAAAAAACATCATTATTATCATTACATTATTATTCATAATTACAAGTATATGACAAATAAATCGGTTATAATTATCATGATACTTGATAATTAGTTGAAATAAAATGTCATAAAAATTATTTTGTCAATGCAAATCAATTAACGAATATTATGATCAACTATCATCATAATTATCAATAAAAGTGACTCTCGTATAAAATTATAATAACTGTATGAATGACGTATAAAAAAACAAAAATTTATGGTATACACCAATACTTTCTCATCACACAAGGCAATTAGCAAGCGATTAATTATCGTCACCTTGTTAACTACAACATATTTCCATCAATGACATCAGTATCTGAGGTTAACAGCCTTAATTGTCACCAAAAAAACAACAACCCTGAACGATATCATAAAATTATATTGACCAAAAAACAACAACAATAACATAAAACAAGAGCATCGCATGAAGAGTGAAGCCTCCCCTCTGATATAAGGGAAATGACTTGAAAAAATAACAATTAAAAGTGTTTAAATAATGGCCGTTTTCCAGTTCATTTCTCAATAAGATACATACATTTGTGTTTGTGATTGTTCAAAATAGTAGTATTTATACGTATGTTGAATCACTTTCTCCATGCTTAAAAGTTTAAAGGGACATATACCAGAAAGAAAAATGTCCCGTGTCCTAAAGATTGCCTTAAATTCCCCCATTAACATATAAGTATGCCAAGAATTAGTATTAAAAGCGTATACATTTGTGTTTGTGAATGTTTAAAATATTGGTATTTATATATAAAATTAATCAGTTTCTATGTTTTAAAGGGACATAACTCCAGAATGTTTAAAACGTGTCTTTTCCCCATTAACAAGTACAAAATAATGTATGCCAAAAATGAGTATAGTTTTCAATTTTTTTTATCAATGACCAAATTTTTACAAAACTTTGCCAAAATATGAAAATTTAAAACGTGCATGACATTCAGAATATAATGTCCCATGTCTTACCGTACCCCTGCACATTAATGTCATGATAAACAAGCAATCCAAGTTTCATTTTGATATTCCTTTTCAAGTGTTTAAGTAAAGGGCTACATTTTAGTTGAGAGGAGCTAAAATTGACCGAATCAATATTGAAGACAGTGCCTGCAGGAGACAAACATTTATTACAATGTTACATGACCCGGGTGTAGATTTTCCAGGGTAAGCCTGGAAGAGAGGCTGGTAAACCCTGGAAAACTATGGAAAAGCATGGAATTCCATGGAAATTCATGGAAAATTGGTATTTTTTCCATGCTTTGTGGACTTTTTTTGTCCAGCCATTTCCAGCATTGCTGGAATAGGCTGGAAATTGGCTGGACATTTGTGGTAAAAGCCTGGAAAACCATGGACTTTACTTCCATGTAGCATGGAAAGTGGAACTTAGATTTTTTTGATGCTGGAAATGTGTTAAATTTTCTCTAAGTATGCTGGAAAAAACTTGTAAAAATTACAACAAGAAATCTTACTTTATATATTCAGCACAATATTGTGAATTTTTGAAAAAAAATATACAATCATCATTTATTTTAATGCAAGTTACTGTAAATGATTTGAAATTTGACACTTTATACTTTTTATGTAGTTGAAAAAGGGTATCTCAGAAAAAATGTCTATGCTAAAGACATAAATGAATTGATTGTTCAAAATACATATTATTATTTAAATAAATCTACATGAAGTTATGTACAATGAAATAATATCCATTTAATTACAGGCTTTAAGTTTGAACTATAAATTAATTTAAGTCTGTGATTAAATCATTCAGACACTATAATAACCAAATTGGGATTGCATTGCTTGCCATTTTTAAATTCTAAGAATTCATGTTTTTGGATAACAATAAATAAATAAATAAATAAACAAAACAAAACAGTGCATGAAAGAATCTCATATATATTCTTTATTAAATTGATCAATATTTAGGAAAATAAATACTACATCCACTGAGATTTTACACTACACAGATCAGAGCTCTGATAAAACTCATTGACCAGCATTTGCCCACCATCTGTGCAAGACTAATTTACTCCACTGGTCATTCCGACAGATCAGGCTGTTCCATGTGATTATTTTGGGGAGAGATAACATTTATAAATTTCATATGCAGAATGTGTCTAGAAGGACATTGCAATCTTTTTTGTACAAAAATTTGTAATGATCTTTAAAATCTATATATCTATTAGCTATTTGATATTTTCTTTTACGCTCAAAGAATAAAAGTTAAAATGATGAGTAGATTTAAACCCTGCTTTACATAATGATAGCCCTGGCCAATTTTGAATTCTAAGATATCTGGGTCAGCAAAGAGTGCAAATTACAGAGGATGTACTTGATATTTTAGCAGTTTTGGAGATATTGTTTTGTTTAAGATTTTAAAGTGTTTAAGTATTGGTATGATAACAATCAGAATCACCTGGGACAAGGAGATATACAACAGAATCAGGTATTTATAAACCTTAAGTTACATCAATGCAGAAACAGGTTATATATATAAATATCAACATTTGTAACAAGAGATCAAGGTTGTTTTTATATTTTCAACTTCATGCATTTGTTTTTCTGATAATTGTTTTTAATCTATACATGTATAATCTGTAAAATATAAATTATTCAATGATTTCTTTATAATGTATATTGTTAAAATGACAATTGTTAGTAGATCTTTTTCATTTCCTACAAATAAAACAAATTAAATCAATTTGATTAAAAAGGACTAAATGGTACAATCAGTAGTTTTGTACAGCTGAACAGGGTCATTATAATCATTTGTTATTTTATATGTATGTGTTGTGTTTTCAATGGAACAATCTAAATGTACAATTACATAACTTGCAGGCTGGGACATAATTAAGTGCTGACTGTGAGAATTACCAACAGTGTTTAATAATGATGTGCAGTATTAATCCTGAAAAGGTATATTTTTAAATCTTAATACTTTTTTATTCCATGTCTTTTCTTGAAAAAATACATACTGGGTGATAAATTTTGTCACAAATTTACTTAATTCTTATACATGTACAGAAAAATTCTTAAACACTTGTGCACTTTGAAATAAGATATACTGCATTGCTTTAGTATTTTTGAATATGCATAAGCATAGTTAATATTTAATAGTTAATACTGTTGAAACATTAGATTTGATGTTATTAAAAGATACGAAATATAACTGCATAATATTTATATGCAATAAAACATAAGTCATTACCACATCTGTGTTAAATTTATTATGAATTTTATCTTTAAAGGTGAGCACAACCACAAGAAGTTCTAGGAAACACAGGCAGAGGACTGAAAATGGACATCAATAAAAAAATAGTAATTTAAATCAGAAACACTTGAAACAAATTTAAGATTAAAGCAGTTTCTCATTGACAGATTAAGAGCAAAATAATTGCTAAAAGCAAAGTGTTGGATTAATAAGACAACCAGAACCTACCAAACCTGCAGCTGGAAAAAAACTGTTTGTGCTAAAGTGAATGTAGGATGTTCTAATTCTGTATTTGGACTAAAGGATATGTATTAAATTTTGTGAAAGAAATATGTGATCATGTTAAACTAATAAAAATTCCACCCCAAACATTCCTGTGCTGAATTCCGTCAGAGAATTTTACATTTTAAGAACATTCAGGGATGCTGGAATTAGGCGCGATTTTTTTCCATGTTATTCCATCAAGGCTGGACTATTTTCCATGGTAAAAAGTCCAGCCTCTATGGTTGGCAGACACATGGAATACCCTGGAAAAAAATCCATACTTTTGTTCCAATACTCCATGTACATGGAAAAGCATGGAATAAATTCCATGCTTTTCCATGGAAAACATGGAAAAAATTCCATGCAGCATGGAAAATGTTCCATGTTTTTTCCCTGTTTTTCCAGCCCATTTTTTCTCAGCTTCAGGCTGGAAAAGGCTGGAAAATTTTGTTCCAATACTCCAGCCTCTTATTTTCCATGGAAATCCCTGGAAAAACATGGACTTTTTACACCCGGGGAACGTTAACCAAGCTAACTGGTGTCTCTACGGCAATGTGATTTCAATAACTTGCCACCCTCTAACAAACCCCTTACTCTTCAAGAGCAATGGTATAAAAACCTGCTCAGGACCCAAGATTTTTCCATATGACCAATGCAGTGAAGTTGCAGCTTTAAATCCCAGCCAAGATTCAAATTGTATATTTGACTGCTGAACCAATCCATTGTTGAATTGACGGGTTTCAAAATAAAAATGTTTTGCATAGAACAAACAGTAAAGCATCTGAACAGACACCATGAAACTGTAGACAGACGAGTTACTACCAGTACAGTGATCGTCACCCTAACCTGACATAAGCTGACCTGGCTGGCTTAGAACCCTATGATAGTTGCCTTTACCAGTTACTACCAGTACAGTGACTGACTGCCTAACCTGACATTAGCTGACCTGACTGGCTAATCCTATGATAGTTGCCTTTACCAGTTACTACCAGTACAGTGACTGACTGCCTAACCTGACATTAGCTGACCTGACTGGCTAATCCTATGATAGTTGCCTTTACCAGTTACTACCAGTACAGTGACTGACTGCCTAACCTGACATTAGCTGACCTGACTGGCTAACCCTATGATAGTTGCCTTTACCAGTTACTACCAGTACAGTGACTGACTGCCTATAAACCTGACATTAGCTGACCTTAAACTGGCTAATCCTATGATAGTTGCCTTTACCAGTTATTACCGGTACAGTGACTGACCACCTAACCTAAGTGACAGGCTGACCCAACTGGCTAACCCTGTAATAGTTGCCTTTACCAGTTACTACAAGTACACTGACTGACTGCCTAATCAGTGACAGGCTGACCTGACTGGCTAACCCTTTACCAACCGCTACCAGTACAGTGTCTGGCCGCCTAACCAGTGACAGGCTGACCTGACCAGCTAACCCTATAATAGTCGCCTTGAAACTCATCCAGGTCGCACAGTTAGTGTTTGACATAAATAATCTGTATTGTTACTGCAACAATAAAACAGACAAAAACAACTGGTTAAACTTACTTATTGTTGTCACTTTGTATCGCAATAAATGATGTCTTAGCCTTTCACCAATAAACAAAACAATTCACCGAACTGTGACGTCAAACAGATTATAGGAAAGTAATTAATATTTATGTAGACTGACAAATTAAACGGCAACATAAATTACAGTTACTTTTTTTTTTCTCTCAACATGAAATTAAAGTATTTCCTGAAGTTTTTGCTGCATTTGTTTCTATTGTTGATGTGTTTTGCTTCTTTTTTTAATGAAACTGTTGTTCAATTTGTTTTGTTTTGTTTATCTTTTTTCCTTTCTTTGGTCTGGCTCTGTACAGGTGGCTAAGATTTTAATCAATTTTGGTTTCAGCAGGTTAAGGGTTTAAAATAAATGAACTTTTAACCTTGACAAAACCTTTCTTCATTTCTCGGTGAAATTTCAAAATATGTATTGAATACTGTTTCACAATAAACAGTTGACAGTAAAAGCCACTTGACCATGTTGTTTGACATTACATGGCTATTTATAACTTATAATATACATGAACATTTTTTTTCTGTTTTGTCTATGTTTTATAATGTGCCATATTATCTCATTGTATAGTGAAATCAATCAATCAATTTCTCAATCAATCATATTGAAATCAATCAATCAATATTAATTTCAGATATATTTTGCAGGAAATATGCTACTGTAACACATGTATTATGAATTTTATTTTATACAATTTTTATTTTTTGAAAAAAAGTTGTCTGGAGATAAGCAGTGTAAAATGTATCGCTGGTTCCTATGCCAGAGTGGCTCTAGTTTAATAGGTTAACCCTAAATGTACCAGCATATCATCTTAAATAGACTTTTCCAACATTCCATCTGGATAAAAAATATTCATCATTTTTAGCAGAATTTAGGAAAAAAATGGGTCAAAGACAGAAAAGGCCGGGTTGCATTTGTACACCAAATATCATGAGGCTGTGATGTTACGAAAAAAATTTACCATTGACCCATTAATGTCGAAAATTTAATTAAGTGGGTTAACAGGAAGTGGATGAGCTACACATCTAAAATCGAATCTCACCGTATGGGACCATGTGTCAATGCTGTATGCCAAATATCAAGAGGCTGTGATAAGTAGTTGCTGAGAAAACTGTTACGAAAATTTCCTACCATTGACCATTAATGTCGAAAAATTTAACTAATTTAACTAAGTGGATAAACAGGAAGTGGATGAGCGACAGACCTGAAATCAAATCCCACTGTATGGGACCATGTATCTATGCTTTATTCCAAATATCAAGAGGCTGTGATAAGTAGTTGCTGAGAAAACTGTTACGAAAATTTCCTACCATTGACCATTAATGTCTAAAAAATTTAACTAATTTAACTAAGTGAATAAACAGGAAGTGGATGAGCGACAGACCTGATATCAAATCCCATGGGACCATGTGTCAATGCTGTATGCCAAATATCAAGAGGCTGTGATATGTAGTTGCTGAGAAAACTGTTACGAAAATTTCCTACCATTAATATCGAAAAATTTAACTAAGTGGATAAACAGGAAGTGGATGAGCGACAGACCTGAAATCAAATCCCACGGTATGGACCATGTGTCTATGCTGTATGCCAAATATCAAGAGGCTGTGATAAGTAGTTGCTGAGAAAACTGTTACAAAAATATTTTCCCCGCCCGCCGCCCAACATTCACCATACTATAACCCTGATTTGCACCAGTGCAACCCGGTAAAAAAATATTAACTGACTTGGGCACAGTGCAGACCATAGTCAAACTGCACTGACAGGTAGATTTAAGCTCCACCAGCAGGCATAAAGCCGCATTGTGTTAAATTATTAATTTAATGTATACTAACAACATTTTTACTTATATAAACACTTTATAAATTTTAAATAGTATATTACATACAATTTTATGCCTGATGCTGAGTATTATATTACTCGAAACATAAGTAGCGAATAAAATGATTAAACCTGACCTAGTGTTGTACATTGTGTGACTCACCTTTTTAATTACAGTTTTTTAATTTTGAAAAGAAATTAAGAAAATTCAGTACAAATTTGAAGCATAAATTTGAAGAAATGCTACAATAAAATAGGATAAATCCAACACTTGTGTAAAACTGTGAAATTGACTTACAGACTGTGCTATATTTAACTCCTGTTGCAGTCTACTGAAGGCATATTCTTTGGCTTCTGTCATTGTATGACTGTGTCGCCTTGGATCTTCAGTAGGTAATACCTCGGACAGGGCATGTCTTAACTGACCTCTTTTATTCCGTAGCACTGGAACGTCCACCTCTCCATCACTGAAATATATAAATATATTATACTTCAATATTTAACACATGTGTCAGACATGCACTGAATGCATTAAAGCTGCATGCCTCCAGATGTGCCAAAATATTTCAAGAAAATCGAACTTTATAAAAAAAATGTACTAAGATTTTAAGTAAAGTAATGCAGTTTAAAGGGCTATTTTTGCACATTTTGACCTCTTTTTGGTAATCAACATTGATTTTTTTAAAGAGCCATTTGAAATGTATAAATTGCTTTCTTTGTTCACTTCACAATATTATATTTTTAAAATTATTATACTCTCAAGAGTTTCATGAAATTTAGCATGAATCTGGAGGTGTGGTGCTTTCAAATACCAAAACACTATCAACCATATTGCCTAAATCAAGCTACTTCAGTAAAGTTAATTGATCTCAACTAAGTTAAACTTCAATAAAGTCAACTCAATTTACCTATCTCAATAAATGTAACCTCAAAAGACTAACTCCGGAATAAAAAAAATTTGGGTTTTTCCCAGCTAATCTGTAGGTTACAAACCAACTTTTACAGTTACAGGTTCGAAAATAAGAGCAACAGAATTATTTTTTGTAAAGGTTGTGCACAGTGAAGTTACAATGGTAAAAGTTTGCTTGTAGCTACGGATTTAAGCTGGGCAAATCCCACAACATTGAGTACAAATTTTTATTCTCAAAAAACAGAACAGCGAATAAGGATATAGAATTTTGAACACAAGTTATTGGTCCTCAGAACACTGATCTAGTGGTACACAAATCTCAACAAAAAAATAGTTCCAGTCCTGTTATGTCAGAAAACCTTAGTGGAGTTCCTTTAATACAAAGTCTTATTAATGGTGATCTCCTAAATGTACAGCATTGGATAATGACGAAATTAAGACCTACTTTTTTGCTAGCATAATCAAACAATTTTACACTGTATACAATGTATTTCTATATATTTCATAAACCTGTAACACAACCTGTTCACGTCAATACATTTATATAACTATTTGGAAATCGCAATATAACTATTTGGAAATCGTAATACTTAAACTCTTTTTTTATTAAGACGTCAAACAGAAAATCTCAAATTAATAACGTGATACTAATACATACAAAAGAAAGCTTTTACAGTTAATTTCAGA